ATCTTGAAAATCCAATTAGAGAAAAACTTAAGGAGATTGAAATTTATGATCTGCTGCGTTCTGCCGAGGAAAAAAAGTCTTTTTTTCTGTTTTTCTTTTCATCAAGGTGTTTCAAAATTAAAGACAGATATGATCAACAGGTAGCACTGCTGACAAAAAAACTATCAAGCAATGTTTTCAAAATAACTGCCATTTGCGGCTGGAAAGCTGTGCAAGTCTGTGAAAAATCTCCTGTGAAAATATTTGAGTTTGAATTTATAATTCTTCATATCTGCATAGTCATCTGCAGTCGAACTTTGTGGTTAGTTTTAAAAACAAATTCTGTTTTTTTTTCTTTTTTAAACAGAGCTCAACTTTCAACTTATTTCTATTTCTTCATTTTTCTATATTTAATTTTTTCAAATCATCGAATATTTTGTGGGTACTAGATATTTAAATACCCTACGTTGTATGAAGGCAAATAATAATAATAACTAAACATTGGCAGCAAAAATGCAGCATAGAAAACAATTTACTCATGGTATTTCCTTGATTTAAGAAAGATTTGCTATAGTTAAACATCCTTAATTTTGTATTCATGCATTTGGGGAAAAATTCTTGATACAATTTTTAATACTATCTTACATTACATGCTGTAGTATTTTCAGTAGAATATAAGACACTTTTGGTATATTCTCTTCACTTAGTTGCCATTAGAAGGAACTAGAGTAGAAAATTAAACTAAAACCAACTAACTAACTCCCTGGCATTACAGTCCATGTTGGACCATAGCCTTACTAACAATTTCCCTTCAAAGTCGCCTGTCTTAGCTTCCAATTTCGAACTTTTAGAATCTTAAGGTCTTTTTCCACCTCGTCAAACCATATTTTGACTGGCCTTCCTCTTTTCCTTTGGCCCTGGCACTGCCCCTTGAATATCTTCTTAGTGCCTCTGTTTTCCTACATTCTCTCAAGATGTCATAGCCATTGAATTCTCTTTGCTTTTACATAGTTGATTATGTAGTAGTTTAAAATTAAACTAAACTTTATAATTGCTGTTTAAAATATATGCATCTAAAGCTTAAAAATACTCCCGGGAATGATGTTTCAATCACATTGCGAACATCCTTAAAGTATAGTATGTGATTAGAAGAAGCTCATTTGAAAATTATGAGTATTTATTGTGCTATTTGGATATTTGTAACTCGAAAATGAATTTAAAGTGATTATGCCTGAAACCATGTGATTTAAATCAGATTTAATTGAATTCCTGTAAGACATATCACGCGTGTGTGTTGAACCTGATTGGCTGGACACACTCACTCTACAAATGCCATGATTCACCTACTATGACTTCACTTACAGGTATCCCATTCTAACATATTTTAATCACGATTATCGATAAAATTAAGTTCTTGCTCTTCGAAAATTAGTTTTCTGTCTAATAAATAGATGGCAACACAATATCAAAGTCATTGAAATTTATTCTAATTTAAATGTTATCCCAGCAATTAGGAAACCTTACCGAAACTTATCTGAAAGAAATTATTTGTGATTGCCATAAAATTATCAGTTATATATGTTTTTATAAGAAGGTGAAAGGCGCTTTTGAATAATTTTACAACGTTCTTGTGATTAAAAATATAATAAATTTTTTAAGCGCTTTCACTCTGGATTGATTTCTTATATTAGAGTCACTTTGAAGTAGTTAGGTTTTTAAGTGTCTGACAAAATATTAGTTACGTTTCTACCTTCATTTTTGCTGCCTTGATTATGATTCCAAAAATACGTTTTCCAATTACCATCATGCTATTCCAAGATAGCAAACGTTGTATTTAATATTTCTCTTGATTGATACATTAAGGTTGACTGGTTAATAATTATTCCTACAAAGCACAAATCTTATAACGCTAATATTATTTTTTAAAGATTGAAGAAAGGTACGCATTACCACAAAAAATGTAATTTCTTTGCTTTGAAAACCTTGATTTTGTTCTTTCCCTTTCGTCTTTCCCTTTGTATATTAAGGTTTTCAAATGCAACATTTTTTTAATGATGATATGCAGTGTTTTGAGATTCAATCTCGAAATTAAAGGGCTGTTTATGCAAGTTTAATGCGAACTTCATTGCGCGTCAACTATCGTAGTTAAATTTAAGATTGCTTTAAGCTTAAATGGTTTTTTAGCTAATCATTCATAAACTTTATTGGGATTTTGTGGAAAAGGTTGCTGCTACTTCAAAACTAACCTTACAATATGTTATCTGGTATTTATTAAGATCAGCAATCAGATCTGTTATCAAAAGCAATGCACGGAAAAGAAAGTCAGCAGAAAGTTATTCTACTTTTGTGTTCATATTTGCAGTGTGGTTAAATAAACTTTTACATATGTATACAAAATTTTAATTTCAACCTACTGAACTTCCAACTAGACATGGAAACATTACGACTCATAATATGTAGCATTATCATTAGTGACCTTAATGATAAGCTATAAAGGTAACACCAAATTTTTTTAAATATAAGCCACAACTTATCTACCGTTATTTTATCTCAGTTTGTGAACAAAAATTTCTTTTAAGGATTCCAATATCTTATGATCTTTCCTCTAAGATGGAACCAAAAAAATTGCATTCTGATATTGGAATGTCTATTTTTTTGTTTGCAAAGTTTTGTGATTAAGTGTTTTTTGTTATTTAGGCTTGTGACTTGTGTTATTACTTTTGCTTCTCAGTTTGGTTACTTTTGTTACTAAAATTTGTTACTTTTGTTACTAAGATTTGCTACTTTTGTAACTATGATTTGTCATTTTTGTATCAGGTTTTGTTATTTTTGTTACTATGATTCGTTATTTTCGTTACTAGTTTGCTGCTTTTTCTTACTAAAATTTGTTACTTTTGTTGCTAAGTTTTGTTGCTTTTGTTTGCGACTCGTGTATAAAATGTGTTAAGCTAAGCAAACATTTCACAAAATTTTGAGGGAAAAACATTTGTTTTAAACTTGGTCATAATATTTACCCCCCCCCCCCCGTGTAAGAAATCATTTTAAGTTACAGCTCATTCTTTTAAACAACGGAAGAAAATGCTAATTCTATCTGAGGCGTTTTCCTCCAAAACTATCATAAGTCAACTAAGAAAAGAAAATTGCAAAAACACTGTTACATTTTTCATAAATTTACATTTATATTCAAATATTAGTTCTGCTTGGGTGACATTTACAACAAAAGGCAACGTTTTATCATAAACCTCATGACAAATGTAGATACTCAAGAAATTGATGGTGTCGTAAACAATACGTTCCCGACGGATTTAAAATCACTGATAACCAAGGATTTTTTAAAACAAAACATTCTATCCTCCCTTTTTGAATGGAACGTTAAAAATATTTCCAATATGATTGGCTGAGGAAAATAACCGGAGATAGAAAAGATTTTAATAAGTTACGTGCAAGAAAACTTTCATAACTTAGCGAGATTAATCTTAAATATTTTGAGCTGTCTTTTATAAGTAACTGTTGTTTATTTCCACTTCTTTGGAAATATTATGATTACTTTGGATTTTATGCAATAAGCGAAAAAAAGAAGAATTAAGAAAAGAGAATGAAAATCGCTCCCTCCCAATGCTAAGAAAACTTGAAAGCAGTTAGTATTTTCATAATGACGTAAGGCTGATGTTGTGCAAGTAAAACTCTTTCCAGGTGCTCTGCAGATTACAGGATGGCTACTCGAGAGTTGATATTTGACGTGGTGAAAGGACTGTTTCTGTTATTGAACCTATCATGCTTTTTTTTATTTATTATTTTTCAAATTTCAATTTGATTTGTCAGGAGGTTATTTCCAATTTATTAAAACATTCCTCTTTTTTATGCTTTTAAAACGACCTTTTATCCGTTTTAGTTTCTTATTTGAATTGACATAGGTTGACTCTGTATTTAATTTGCAAGTAAAATTACATCTCAGGCTCTCTGCAGATAGCAGGAATGTAACTAGAACGTTGATATTTGTCGCGCTGAAAGGACTATATTAATTTTTAAACTTATCACCTTTTTCCCCTTTTCAAATCAGATTTGTTCGAAGGTTATTTCCCATTTACAAATATTTTCCCCCCTTTACGCTTTAAAAATGACTGTATATCCGTTGTAGTTTCTTATTTGAATTAACGTAATGGATTAAGGTTGACGATGTATTTAATTTACTAGTAAAATTATCTTTCTCAAGCCGCTCTGCAAACTGCATGAAATAAACTAGAGAATTGATATTTGAGATGCTAAAAGGAACATTTTTATACCGATCACACTTTTTTAATTTTATATATTCTAATTTGATTTGTTCTAAGATTATTTCTCATTTATTAATATTTTCTCCTTAAAAATGACTCTTTATACGTTGTAGTTTACCAATTAAATTAATATAATGCCGTTAGGTTGACGTTGTATGTCATGTTGTTAACAAGTACATGACATACAGCACCACATGACATATACATGACATGCAACGTACTTCTCTTTCATTTCTTCTTATTGTGTCACGTATTTTGTTTTCTTTAGTTCATTTATTTCCATGTGCAATTACAGTTGATTATTTTTTCAAATACTGTGAATCATTTATTTTGTTTTTATTAACATATTAACAAAATGTGCTAACATGAAATTGTGATAATTGAAATAAATTCTAGAATTAACTGAATGAATTGCAAAAAGATTAAACGCAATTTATAATAATTACTTATTTTTTTAACAAAGTGATTTTTGTGTTTTTTTTTTTCTTTTTTTGCGAAAATATTATTTTATATCAAAAAAATGCAATAATGAAACACATGTTATCCCGACGGTAAATAATAGGATATTTTTATAAAGTTATAGGATTCCTCTAGGAGTTATGAGATTCCTCCTGATACATTTTTTTTAAATGTATGAGTGGTCTCTAAATTAATTAAATTACCAAGTAAATTACAGTGATTATTTGAAGTACTCATAAAAGTTTGATTCTGTTTTTAAAGTTTGTTTGAAAATTCATGAACATCATATGCATCTAAAAAACATTTATTGATCATATATAAATTTCAAATAATTTAGAAATACAACCTCTTCGGACAATATATATACATCATACCAGGCATTAAAGCAGGTTAACCTGAAAAATATTTAAGTTATTGTAATTTTAAAAATTATGAAATCAAAATAAAGCTGAGATAAAAACTACAGTTTACATCTTAAACGCCTTATTAAGCCTCTTTTAGCACAAAAATATCAACCCAAATATAACAGCAGTTTTTTGACGCAAAAAGAAGTGAAGTTTACATAAAATGAATCAAATTACAATAAATAGTACTGTTCTTGCAATTAAAGTAAAATAGTAAATTTCTTTTTATTATTGAAACCATACAAACTATTATAACAAAAAGACAATCTTTGTTTAAAATAATTGTCGAAATAATTTCAATCGCTTATTTTTCCATCAAAACCTTTATCAAAACCAACTTTAATTTCAAATAAATATTCGCTTACATTAATTTGATACTATTGTTAATTTATTATCACATTTACTGCATGTTATTTTCGCTTTATTTTTTCACATACCATATTATTTCTTTTTTTTTCAGGAAGAAAACTTTTAATTATATTCTATTCAGTATTCTAAGAAAATTATAAAAGCAGACATTTTCTACGTAACAGATTTTCATGTTAAAATTGCATAGGACATTTTATTTCGTTCAATAATTAAATGTCTGTTAAATTCTCTAATTCTTTTCCTAGAAAACATTTGTAGTAGAAATATTATATTATTAATTATATATTATATTATTAATAATTATACATTATATTATATTATATTACATTACATTACATTACATTACATTACATTACATTACATTATATTATATTATATTATATTATATTATATTATATTATGTTACATATGTATTCAAAAATAACGATTTCATACAATTCTTTTATTTTTTTAAATAGTTGTTTTTCAAGCGACAACGGATAGTATGTGTATTAAAGTAGAATTATAACTTTAGTAATAAATTAATAACTGTTTTTACAAGTACATTGATTCCAAACTAATACTTCGTGAAGTTTTTGACTTTTTATTAACAATACTCATAATGGAAATAAAATAAACTGAACAATAAATTAACTACGAAATAAAAATACATTTACCTAGCTAAAGAGTTTTATGTGTCCAAATTCTTCTTTCCCTCCGAGGAAAACCGATGTTTAAATTTCCTGATTCTCCTAACGCAGACCCCCCGAAATTTCCATGTTGGAATTCACCTCCATTTCCACCTGCCGATCCTCCATAACTTCTTTCCTCTCCTCCATTTCCTCCTCCTGCTTCTCCATCTTCCTTTCCTGCCCCTCCATCTTCTCCTCCACTTTCTCCTCCTGCTCCTCCATTTTCTTTCCCTATTCTTGAAAGTCTCTTTCGAAATTCACCTCCACCTCTTAACGAACCTAAACTGTCCGATCCAAATTTTCCTGCCATTCCATTAACTGAAATTAAAAGCAAATGCAGGTTAACTTAATACAAAGAAAGAGAGGCTACGCGCATCCTAAAGATTAAAAATTACGCATTGATCCATAGCCAAAAATGCCTTCCTACGTCATTATGGGCTCTTCCCTCTTATACAGTGATTAATCGTTCGTATTTTTACTGGCACTTTTATCTATCTATATGATTTCAAATGCACTTTAGTTTAATGTTTTTTAATAATAATTGTCACAAATTGCTATTTTTGAAATGTCGATCAACTTGCGGAGCTTGCCAGTTTGATAGACAAATCAGTAGAATGCAGCATAGCAGATATTCCGGCATCTATAAGAAGGCAACTTTCAAAGATAATTAATTGAAAACAGAAATGTAAGATAATTTAATTTTTCTTTTAATTAGGGTAAAGAAAATAACTCCCTCAAATGCGCAGTGTGTCATTAAGAATAATATCAGCTCCTGCAAATAAAGGTCTAGAAACAAAACACACGTGACTTATTCATTATGTCCATTTATTAAACAAAAGATTAAGAGAGATGTTGTATGCATGACTATTCATAAAAATTACTATTTTTGAAATCTTGATCAATTTTAGAAAGTATCTCCTTTACAAAAAGTTAATATTAGATGGTTGACATGATGGTTAATGTACAGTAACTTTATTAAATCTCAACTGTATATCTTCTGAACCATACCTCATACGCAGTTTTCACTTTCAGTTGGCCACTGTATGTAAGTCTAATTTTCTACTTTTAATGCATTAAACTCCAGTTTTCGAATAATGTATATACAAATACAGCGCGCAAAAAAAAAAAAAAATAGATGGACTGCCCTGAATACTTTTTGAGCTAATGTTTAGATCTTCACGTTCTTGAACTCAATCTTGTTGGTTCGAGAGGTTGAATTATATTTTGCCTATTAATGAGAACTTACGATAGTTTAAACCAGGAAATAAGTCACAAAAACTTACGTTCTCAGAAAACACATACCCTTTTTTTCGACGGAATCGGATCTCTCACCCTCAAAATATAGGGGGTAGCAGCAAATTGGGAAATATGGTTGCAATAATTTGGTACAGAAGAGTTTTATAAAATTCGGACCCTTCTACGTTAATTTTGAACGAGTAGTTTGTTTTGGAAATATCGTATATTAAAATTTGATTTACCAGGAACTATTTCATCAATTTCTCTCATCTTATCATGGGGAACTTAATTCTTCAAAATGATGCTAAAATTTGAAAAATCTTACAATTGGAAATTTTTTCTACAATTGTTAAATAAAATAATAAAATTTAATAAGTATTTACTAGAAGTTAACTTATTCTTTAGATAAATGAATTTCATAATTGTGTGCAGAGATATTTCGTTTTGTTTAAAAATTTCTTGAGATAACGAAGTACGCAGAAAGCAAAATTAATATTAAGGAGTACAAACTTTGGACATCCCTTCTGACAAAAATATGGGGACCATATTTCCCACATTACGGCTACTCCCTATTTTTGGGGGGTCAGAAATCCGAATCTGTCGTAAAAAAGGTATGTTAATTCAGAAAAAGTACGCTTTTTACATCTGATTTTTTATAGTGTGAAGTACAGTCTGAACAAATTAATTAACATATTTAAGGGTCAACCTCTCAAGCCATATAGATTGAGTCAAAGCTTCAGATTGGAAGTTATTCAGAGTGGAGCATTTATTTTTATTATGTTTTTGGCAAACATGCAATGTTAGTTAAGAAGTGTTTCAGTCCATCTAAACAGAAAAAAATTTATACATGAATTTATCAATTAGTTAGAACTTTTTAAACCACAAATAAATTTTGTTTTAAATTCACTAGATAAATTTTTTTTTGGATCTTGATCTTACATTAAAAAGTAAGGTATTGTCTCTAAATTTATTGTTAGACATATATGGGTTTTAGTTAAAACCAATGGTATAATTATAGGTCAGTATTTCCAATGAAGCAGAAAAGTATTTTGGAGTTTAGACATCGTAGTCCTTTACATATTTGAATGACAACTAACTTGAAACTAAATTATAACACATTCAAGTATAAATAAGACGTTAATGAAATTAAAGAAATTAATCATAATCTGTGTTTGGTCTTAGAAACCTGTGGACACAAAACATTTAAAACTACTATAACTTCAAAAACGTAAATTATTTATCAGTTAAATCTTTTAATTCTTCAATGTAAAATTAATCATTCATTTAAAAGTCCCCACAGAGATATGATAGCAAGAGATATGATGACTACTGTCACTTATGAGTTGATATTTATAACATAACAAATTAAATTTGTAAACCATCTCAACTATGTTTGATATAATAATTAATTAATCAATGAATGTAAATATAATATTTAACATTCAAAACATATTTTTCTCGAAATTAAGAGTTTTTCTAAAATTAAACTGACAAGTCAGCTAGCCACTTGAGGCAGCTTGAATATATTTATTTCATAACTGAAAGATATTAAAAATTCACTTAGAGCCTGCTAACAGTATTTTTAAACTATCTAAATTAAAAAAAAAGTTATTACACAAATAATTAGAAGTATTAAAAAAAATTTTAAAAAGTCGTTAACTAAACTATTATAACTGTGTTTGTGTTTTTTTTTTACAAATTACGGCAATGTTTCAAAATTTAAGATTATAACTGAACAGTTTAATCAGTATTCCATAAGAAAACATTAATATAATTTAAACTTTCCGTTTTATAATATTTTTTATCATTATTAAAAAACTAATTTAAACTAAGACTTATATCGATTTCAATCACAAAATAATTATTAAAATCTCCAAATAATTTTTTAGCATTTACACAAATTTACATTAGCATTTCTTATCAGGCATTTAAATGTATTTAAGCTTTAAGGTCTTGATTTTGTTTATAGGATCAACAACTACTTATATGTAATCCCTACTAAAAACAATTACTTGAAATTGTACAACTAATTAAATTACTCACCTGAGGTTAAAATGTCAGCTAAATCAGCTGAAAGAAGACCCTTAAATAAGTAAATATTTTAACAATAAAAGAACTTTCGAAGGTTTGCATCCATAACAAAACAATAAAAAGAACAATAAAAATGATTGTATTTTCGTTTTCGATTTAAAATGTTGGTAAGTTTCTTTATTAAAAGCTGAGATGGAAATAATTCGTCAAAATTTCAATCGTTTCTGATTATAGCCTATTGAATCTAGTATAAAATTCTAAACATGTAAATTGAATACAGCATAAGTGAAACAATGACAATTAAATGCAGTTTGTTATAAAATATACACTAACACTTGGAATCAATAATTTTTTTACTTTTCATCATACTTTAACCTTTCTCATCATGTTATGTTAGGACTTGAAATTTATTGATAATGTGCGTCAACACTTCTAATTGACTTAAACATAGAACAAATACAAAGAATAATTGAGACTCTTAATTGATATGTGAAAACAACTCACCACCACCACCGAAATTTTCCTGTACTAAATAAAAAATAATAATAATCAGATAATAAAATTATAAATCTAAATATATTTGTCCCTAAATAAGAAATATTTAATTAGGTTATGCATGCATATTTTATCATAAAGCTCCAGCTGAAAGTTGGAATTTTTTTATGGCTTCAATATATACTTCTAGGCTTATACTTTAGGCTTATACTTTTATACTTTATATAAACCTATAGAATACAAAATAAACTGCTCATGCGTAAATGCTTAATTTTGCTTAATGTTTGATTAAAATATAAAGAAAAACTTGGTGCAAAAAGAGATAGAACTATCCCCAGTTCATTAAACTTCATTTTTTTAAAAAAAAAAATTTCATTTAATAAAATTTCATTAAAATGCTTACATTTTTGATTTTGATGCATATAAGACAATTAGAAAAGTAGTTTATTTGAAACGTAATGAAAATATGAAATCAACGGATACGTAATAATATTAACCAAAAGTATTACTTTCCTTCTCTTGCCCGAAAAAAAGTGTTTTCTGAATATTAATTGTTTTTCTAATAACAAAATAAACATGTAATACAAAGCAAGAGACGGAAGTGAAAATGAAAGTAAACAAAACCGTATCATGCAGTAATATATATATATATTTAATGGCGGGCACTTAGGGTAGTCCCATTGGCCACAGAAATGCCACAACTGCTACTCTCTTCTCGTTACCCAGTGGGAACCTGCGGCCAAGCCACGGCGGTGGAGCAGCATCGCCCACGTCACACAACCACAAACCTGTTTATAGGGCGGGTCACATTCACACAAAGAGGAAAGGACATAGAACACAGAGAGAGAAAGAAACATCCGTGCCCTGAGCAGGATTCGAACATGCGGCCAATGGCTCCGCAGGCAGACACGCTAACCACTCGGCCACCTGGCCGGCTGTAGTAAAATATAAAAATCTTTAAAAAAAACACGGTAATAATGCAAGTTTATTAATTATTTATATCTAATGTTCGGAATAACTTTTAACTTTTGATCTAATGTTCGCATCTTCACGTTCTTGGACTGAATCTTAATGGTTCGAGTGGTTGAGTTCCATATGGCTAAATAATTAGAGCATGCGATATTTAAGTCACAAAATCTGTCCCAAAAACTTGTTAATTCTCAACTGTTTATCTTCTCTACCATAACTCGTTGCGTAATTTTTATTTTCCGTGGGTATGTAAGTCTAATTTTAAACTTTTAATACATAAAATACAACTATTTTGTTAATTAATTAGATCATACGATAGCTTAAGCAATGAACTAAACACACTTTTTTTTTCTCTATGAACTCGGATATCTCACCGGGGAGTAAGCGCAAATTGGGAATATGGTCACAACTGTTTAATCAGAAGAATGGTACAAAGTTGAGAAAATTCTATGTTAATTTAGAAAAAGTCGTCTATTTTGAAAATATCGTAAACTTAAAATTTGATTTCTCAAGAACTGTTTGGTCGATTTCTCTCATATTTTGTGTATTACAATTTAAATTTACATTCTTAAAAATGGCGTAAAATTTTGCATATTTTACGCTTAAAGTTTTTTTAGATAATTGTTAAATAAAATAACAACTTAAAGATATTAAAAAATCACTTACCGTTTCCTAGCAGAGCTTTCAAACCATCTAAATTTCAGAAAAAGTTATTTTACAAAACATAAAATTCAAAAAAAAAATATTTTTTTAAACGCTTTGCTAACTTACATATTATTACTATATTTTCATACATTTTTCTTTTCAAAATACGGCAAAGTTTCAAATTTTATGGTTTTAGTTTAACAGCTTAATCAATATTCTTAAAAAACACTAATATAATTTAAAGTTTAGGTTTCGTAATAATCTACATCATTATTTACAAACTAATTTAATCTAAGACCTACCGATTTCAATCACAAATTAATTATTCAAATCACCAAATGAAAACTTAGTATTTACACAAATTTATATTAGCATTTCCTGCTAGGTATGCCATTATATTTAAGTTTTATGCTCTTACTAAGAGTTTGCTTTCATTTATAGAAACATTAACTACTTTTGCGTAACAGAATACAAATACAAATAATTGAAGCAATACAAATAATCGAAATAATACAAATACAAATAATCGATACAGAATACAAATAATTGAAATTACGCAACTAAGTAAATTACTCACCTGATGTTAAAATATCAGCAAACTCACCTGAAGATAGACCATAAAGTTAGTTAATATTTTAACAATACCAAGTAATTGAAAGAAAATTTGCATCCCACCCCAGAAAAGAAAACAAGATGCTACACTGTTAGAATTTTCATTCTAAAATAATGGTGAAATAACCAGCAGCAGTATGTCCTTCCGAAGTTTACGGTAAAGAATATTTTTTATCTTTACGGTTTTGAAACCGTTTACAACTAGTATGGTTATAAAATCATGAACACAAAACTATACGGTTTTTTAACCATTTACTGCTTACATGGTTTGAAAACCTTGAAAAAAGAAATTTATCTGAACATAGGAGCAAAGATTCTCCTGAGATAATGGGCATTGGAGAGTGCAATCCACTGGAAATTCTTCATGTGTGTTAAAGGGAATGGATGTGTCTACTCAGGGACTCGAACCCCCGTACTGTCGGCCATGATATTGACAGATTAGCTCTCTCGGCTATAATATGTACGCAGTTGCAATGAACTAAGTTGCTTCATTAGGCTGGTTTAGTGGGTGCAATAAAATTCTTGTTATTTAAGTGTTTTAGGTAAAAACAGTTAATAACTGTTTTTTCACACTGTAAATAGTTTCGTTACCATCTTATTTGTGGTTATTTGACCGTTTTGTTTAAATATGGTAAAATAGCAATTAAATAAATTGTTATTTAGCCATTTTTTGCGAGAAATTTCTGACAGTGCAGTATTTTTGCTTTCGACTTAAAATTATGGAAAAGTTTCCTTATTAAAAGCTGAGATGGAATCGGTTAGTCAAAATTTCACTAGATTCTGATTGGATTTTCCTATTGAATCTAGCCTACGATTCTAACAATGTGAATTAAATACAGCATAATCGAAACAATTACAACTAAATGCATTTATAAAATATATATTAAAACTCACAATAAATTATTTTTAATTTTTTTTTTTTTTTACTTTAGCCTTTCTCATTATACTTTAGGACTTGAAATTTATTGATAATGCGCTTCAACACTTCTTATTTTCATATGATAGTTTAAGCAACCAAATGAGTACCAAAAACTCACGATCTCTGAATGAACATGATTTTCCTTCTCGATGGATTCGGATCTCTTATCCCCAAAATTTAGGTGGCAGCCGCAAATTGGGATGCAATAGTTTCGTTAGAAAAATTTTGCAAAGTTTAAACCCTTCTACGATAATTTTGAAAAAGTAGTTTGTTTTAAAAGTATCGTATTCTTAAAATTTAATTTCTCAGGTACGATTTTACCGGCTTCTCTCAAATTTTGTATTTCGCCATGCAAAATTACATTCTTTAAAATGAAGTAAAAATTCGTATACCTTACAATCAGAAATTTTTTCAACTATTGTTAAATAAAATAATAAAATATAACGAATATTTACTAAGAGTTATTTTTTTCATGGAATTATCTTTAGATAAATTTCATAACTGTGTGCAAACATATTTCAATTTGCTTAAAAATTTTTCGAGATAACGAAATACACAAAAGGTAAAATTAACATTAACGAGTACAAAGTTTGGACCTCCTTTCTGACAAAACTTTTGGGACTGTATTTCACAGATTGTGGCTACCCCCTATTTTTGGGGGGTTAGAATTACAAATCCGTCGAAAAAAAAGGAATATTAATTAGGAAAAAGCACACTTTTTATATCTGATTTTATAGTTTACTGCATCGTCTGCACAAAATAATTAACATATTTGAGGTCACCCCTTCGAAACATATGGATTGAATACGTGAAGGCCCAATCTTCAGATTAAGAGATATTCAGAGTGGTGCATTTATTAATTTATTTTTTTACGCAGCACACTTGTACTATTTTCTAAGAAATATTTCATTGGACTATCTAAACAAAAAAACAGTGTGCATGGATTAATCAATTAAATAAAACTCTTTAAGCCGCAAATAAATTTTGGTCAAAACTCAGTAGCTGAGATTTTGTTTTTTAGATTTTGAACAAAACATGGCGTTGTTTTATATTTTTTGTTAAAGAGTTATGGATTTTAGTCAAATTTAATGGTATAATTATGCTCTTTAACGACAACTTCAAAAGCTTTAAAATTATTTATCAGTTAAATCCTTCAAATCTTCAATATAAAATTAATCATTCCCTTAAAAGTCCCTAGAGATAAGAAAGCAAGAGGTAGAATAAGCACTGTCGATTATGAGTTGACATTTTAAAGAATAATAAATTAAATTAATAATTTATCTAAAATATATTTGATATAATAATTAAGTAATCAAATAATGTATACATAATATTTAATATTTCATCAAAACATACTTATACGAAATTTAGAGTTGTTCTGAATTTAAATTAACAAATCAGATATCCACCTGAAGCAGCTTGACTATATTCAATTCATAAATTATAAATTACTTACCGCCTTCTAATTGGCTTTCTAAAGTAAAAAACAAAGTCCGAAGTAAAAGAAAAAGTTATTTTACAAATAATTAAAAACTTCAACAAAAAATAAAATTTCGCTAACTAAACTACAATTGCTGTATTTGTACATTGTTTTAATAAATTACGGCAATGTTTCAAAATTTTTGGTCATACTTTAACAGTTTATTTATTATTCTATAAAAAAACCTTTATTATAATTTAAACTTTCGGTTTTCAAATGTATTTTGAATCGTTATCAAAAACTGATCGTCAAATCAATAACAATTTGACTTAAAATCGTCAAATCAATTCTCTGCATGTACAAAAATTAATATTCGCATTTCCTATCAGGTAAGGAAATATATGTAAGCTCTACGGTATTGCTAAGATTTTGCTTTTATTTATAGGATCAACAACTACTTTCGCGTAATCTATACAGAATACAAATAAATGAAATTAAAGCAGGTAAATAAATTACTCACCTGGGCCTAAAATTGTACCTAAATCAGCTTAAAAAAGAAAAGAAAATAAGTTTAAAAACTGCATAGAAATTTCAATAGTAAAAGGAACTTTCTAAAATTGGCACCCCCCTAAAAAAATCAAAATGCTTGTATTCTTGCTTTCGACTGAAAAATTATGGAAAGCTTCCTTATTAAAAGCTGAGATGGAATTAGTTAGTCAAAATTTCATTAAAGTCATTCTATTCGTAAATTAAGGATATTGGAAAATAACTTACTTTTTTGTAACAGGTCTTGGATGCCCTCTAAATTGAAAAAAAGTTATGTAACAAATAATTAAAATTTTCAATAAATTTCTTATTAAAACAGTTTCGCTAACTAAACTATTATTACTATCTTTGCATATTTTTTTTGTTACAAAATGCGTCAAAATTTCAAACTTTATGGTTATACTTTAACAGTTTAATCAGTATTCCATAAAAAAGACTTTATTATAATTTAAACTTTCGATTTTGTAATATTTTACATCATTAATAACAAACTAATTTAATTTAAGACCTACCGATCACAAAATAATTTTTAAAATCGTCAAAGAAATTCTTTGTGTTTATAAAAATTTATCTTAGCATTTCTAATCAATATGCAAATATATTTAAGCTTTAAGGTCTTGGTTTCATTTTTAGGATCAACAACTTTCGCGTAATCCATTCATAATAGAAATAATTGAAATTATGAAACTAAATAAATTACTCACGTGGGGCTAAAATGTTTCCTAAATCAAATGAAGAAAAAAAACATGAAATTAGTTTAAAAAAAATCATAAAAATTTCAACAATATAAAATAACTTTTCAAAATTTGTTTACTCTGAGAAAATATTTCGACTTAAAATTACAGTAAGTATTATTGAAAGAAAACAGGAAAATGGTTAGTCAAAATTTCATTAGCTTCTGAATATATCTAAATTACTGTTACTGCTAAATATTGCATAATCAAAACAAAGACAATAAAATACAGTTATAAAATAACTGCACCTAAACTTCGGGATCAATAATTTTTTACTTTACTTTCTTTTTACTTTAGCCTCTCTCATCAAACCATGTTAGGATTTAAAATTTATTGATGATTTTCATCAACACTTCTTATTGACATAGAACAAAAATAACAAAAAAATGTTTATAAGAAATTTTGAGTATAAATGTTAAGAAAAAATTAGGCACGTGAAAACTACTTACCAAGATCAAGACCATCTGTTACTAAATCAAAAAGAAATAACAATAATATAATTAAATATCATTATTAAATCAAATGCTCCTAAATAAGACGCATTTTATTCTGTTCTGCATGCATATTTTACTATAAAACTCAATTTTCGAAAAATGAAACATATATATGATGTCAATGGATAATTTTACGTAATCCTCATAAAATACAAAATAAATCGTTAATATGTAAATACTTACATTGGCTTAATATTTGTTGCAAATTTTCTAAAATATTAAAAAAACTTAGTAAACAAATATGTAGAAAAATATCCAGTCTGTCGAATTTCCTAAAAATGCATTTAAAAAAACGATTAAACTTCGATGCATATAAGACAATTAGAAAAGTAGTTCATTTCAAGCATCATGAAAATAAGAAATCAATAGACGCGAAATAAAATAACCAAGAGGGTTAGTTGTTATCCCTTGTCCAAAAAAGATTTTTCCTGAATATTACCTACTTTTTGTAGGAACATGTAATATAAAGCAAGAGACAAAAGTGAAGATAAAAGTACACAAATTGAATGTTACACTAAAGTAAGAAGATCCTTAAAAACTTACAGTCATAATGTAACTTTATTAATTTTCAACTGTTTATCTTCCCAAACATAACTGATTTTCAGCTGTATTTTTCATTTTCAGTTGTATGTAAGTTTAATTTTCTACTTTCAATGAACAAAACTGAAGATGACGAATAGAATGCATGTACACATACAGCGTTTGAAAATAATTTAAAAGAAAAAAAAATTTATTTAACAAATGATTTAAATTTTCAATAAATCTCTTATTTAAAAAGTGTCGATAATTAAACTATTATTACTATCTCTGCATATCTGTCTGTTACAAAATATGGCAAAGTTTTAAAATTTATGGTTATTTTTTAACAGTTTAATCAGTATTTAATAAAAAAAACTTTATTACTTATTAAAACTTTATTATAACTTTCTGCTTTGTAATATTTTACATCATTATTAGCAAACTAATTTAATCTGAGACCTGCCGATTTCAATCACAAAATAATTTTTAAAATCATCAAATGTGTTTACAAAAATTTATATTAGTATTTCTTATCAGGCATGCTTAAGGCATGCATATTTAAGTTTTAAGGTCTTGGTTTTATGTATTGGATTATCAACAACTTTAGCGTAATCCAGTCAGAATACAAATAATTAAAATTATGCAACTAAATAAATTACTCACGTGGGGTTAAAATGTTTTTTTTTTATATAAAATGAAAAAAGACGACAAAATTAGCTAAAAAAATTCATAAAAATTTCGAAATATCAAACAACTTTTCAAAATTTGCTTACTTTCAAAAAAAAAAAAAAAAAAAACTTCGACTTAAAATTATTATAAATTTCTTTAATGAAAGCTAACGGGAAAATGGTCAGTCAAAATTTCATATAGTCTATTGAATCTAGCTTATAATTAATATTAATATTAATGCAGCAAAATCGAAATAAATACAATTAAATACAGTTATAAAATATGTACTAAAACTCGGCATCAATTTTTTACTTTACTTTCTTTGTACTTACCTGTCTGTACTTACTACCTGTACTTACCTGTAAATACTTACCTGTACTTACTTGTACTGTAGCCTTTTTCAGCAAATCATGTTAAGATTTGAAATTTATTGATATTGTGCATTAACACTTCCTTATGACTCAAACGTAGAAAAAAAAAATAGCGCGGGGAGTCCCTCCGCGCGGAAGAAGTGAAACTTCGTAATGTGGAAATGAAAATAGGAAGGGGTAGAAATTGACTTTTAGTAAAATCATATTGTTTCTTTAAGACAAACTTTATTAACAATGCTTACAATTCACAATTGATCGCATCTTTTAATTATCATTTTCGAGTGGAGAAATATCCAAATCTATAACATTTACAATGGGATTATGATAACTAAAGTAAAATACGAAATGTTTGAGTTCGATTTTTTAAATATTTCTTGCAAAAACTGCATCAATGGTAGTTACCCCTTCGGTTGTTGGATCATTCCAACCATTTATCATTTCTAATCCAAATTTGTCGTTAAGGAAGGTTAATAATGTTTCAGCTTCAGGTAACGAGAAATGCACATTAAAATCTCCTGCGAGGATCACAGGCCGCGCACAATATTCAATTTCTTCACCAGTAACGTCTGCCATAGCTTGTGAACCTGCAATGGATAGTGGCAATAAAGATTTTGCAATAAATAATTTAATATCCCTCATGGCTGCATTTGGTGAAATATAAATGGCAATTAGAAAAGAGAAAACCTAACAATCAATTGATATTCACAAGAGACGTACCTTGACATAACCTTAAATCCGTCGCATTGTCCGTGGGATTGTTTTCACTTATTTTTTACAATTGTTATCCACTAA